TGTGATCAAAATTTGCTCCATGTCCAATGTTTTTAATGTGTATTGAATAAAAACGTATTTTTTTAAAAAAAAATGGGTGCTTGGCAACTGGAAATTCTGATCCCAGTTGTGGTTGCAAGTTGAGGGCCAACAAGCTCATGCTAAAATCCTCCAGATATATCTTCTCTATCAGTGCACGAACACCAAGAGGGACGTCCAGAGCAAAACAAACCTTTGTCCAGATGGCTTGATTATTAGGCATAATTTGGTCAGATCATCACAGCTACTAACGGATGGGTGTCTCCAGTTTGGCAAAGGGAAGCCTTGAGCAATTACAGTATTCCCTTGTTGCCTGATGTTAAGAGTGATATCAAGCCATGCATAATTCAAACCTAGCTTTTCAAATTACCCTTGTCCCATCAACCCATTTATCTTGAGCAATAAAAACAGCAGTAAATCTTGAACGAGGTTTATGGCTTGCATTTGGAAGATAATACATCCACGTCAGTTGCATTCTTCATTTGGGGGAAAAAAAAATTATGAGTAGAAATGCAGTCCAAAGGAAACAAATCCTGCAATCGAGAAAATAAATAGCTGCCACCCATTAAGTAAAAGGCTACGGAGAGGCTAGGTTTTCAGTTATACCTGCTGCATTTCCTGCAGAATAACACTGTTGCATTTTGCATGCATGTCAGGCATGCTGCCAAACGTTCCCCTAAATATCGTATGTTATTCTATACAAGCTGAAATTGTGAGTCCGTGAGACTGCCTACCTCCCACCAGAAAGGAAGTACATGCAATGGACTGACTTACACCCAGGACGTTGTCAGTACTATGTTGAAAAGGTTTCTGCCTGCCTTGAGGGACTGCAGGTTTAGACAGTGTATCTGGAGAAATGTTGAAATATGGATGTAATTTGCTTAAGGAGTAGTTCCTTATTTGATGTGCATGTGAAAATGGCATCTGCTGATGATTTATAAAGGCTGTGCAAATGAATGATTTAAAAAAATAATAATAATCCAAGATTAGTATCTTAACTTTGGAACACTTTAACTCTCAGAGACTGTAAAGGACTCCTTGCCCAAATCCCATGGTTTTAAAAGACCTTTACAAATGATGACTTATTATTACAATTGTGTTCTACAATTCTGGTTTGTTTTATTGCCAGAATGGGACAACTCATAATTCAATTATTTAAAATAATTTTTGAAATATTTTAATTTTTGTAATTCACAATGCATTTTGTCCCTCCTTTGGCACCCTTGTTTTAATGATTCTATGCCACCATTTCTTTAGTGCAACTCTGGTCCAGTGGCAAGTTGGCCACAGCGAGTTGTCCTAGAGCAGTGTTGGTGAACCTTTTTGGCACTGAGTGCCAAAACGGGGAGACGCACAACAGCCACCTCGTCTTCTGATTTCTGGCATGCATGCATGCATGAAGACCAGCTGGCCAGTATGTCAGGGTGTCAGGGATTCAAATAGGATCCAAAATTAAATCAGAGCCCAAGGCAAAGGATTCCTCAAAGTTCCAATTTATTAAGATAGTCATGTTGGCACATCTGTGGAAACCCGAATCTGAAAGCTTCACCAGTTTTCCCCACCCAGTTGAAAGTTCAAGATCTTGTCCCCACCCACAAGTCCATCACATGGCCCAATCTTCCACTGCCACGCTGGCAGCTTCCATCCATCCAGTTCCGATTAGGTGTAGAGACAAAGGATGACCTTGGCTTTCTAGAAAGAATGTTGTTATGGCTACATATCATCTAACTTCATACAATTCCCCCCTCCCAATTCTCCACTCATGAAACAGCATAGTAGAATAGAATATTAGTGTGGCAGGCCAAAGATCCCAAAAGGAACTGGCTGCAGGCCTGACAGGGTGTGCATGCATGCATGGAAAACTGGAAGATGATCTTCCCTGTGCACATGTACACTGGACAGCTGCTCTTCCGGTTTCCGGTACTCCCGTGCATGTGTGCCAGACTAGCTGGCCAGCACACCAGAACTTGGGAGAGCAATGGGTGATGGCTCTGCGTGCCACTTCTAGCATGTGTGCCATAAGTTCGCTATCATGGCCCTCAAACCTTTTATTGCTGTGTCTAAAATTTTAATTTATTGTAACCTGCCCAGAATGTCTTTAATTGGGCAGGACATAAAAATTCTTAACTGGATGACTATCCGGCTGACCTCTGAGAGTTTATACCAAGCAATGGTAGGTAGACTGGAAGGCTCAAATGAGAGTTGGATATGTCAGGAAAAACTTCGGAGGAAGTGGACACTGATGAAAATAGGTTGCTTAAGATGAGTGTGTGGGAAATTAAAAGCTTTGGGAGGCTTGTAGAGTGCTCCTGGGGGATTGGGGGGGGGGGATGAGCAAAAAAGGCCTGTTTCTCACAAGTAATAAAGAAGGGCATGCAGAGGCTTTGGGAGGCTTGTAGAGGGCTCTTGGGGGCTGGGGGGCAAAAAAACGAGCAAATACGGCCTTCCCCAGCCCTCAGGAGCACTTTGCAAGTCTCCCAAACCCTCTGCACGTCCATTTTTGCAAAGGGGGCGGGGTTTTGGTAGCCCAAAAATGCTGTATAAGACGCACCCAGATTTTCACCCTCTTTTTTGGGGGTGGTGGTGGAAAGGTGCGTCTTATACTCCGAAAAGTATGGTACTTGAAGAGTGAATGAATCCAATTGGTACGGACAGAAAGAAAAACATGATTGGGTGAACGTGAGGAGGTCTTGAAAAGTGAAATGTAGAGAATAAAAATAAATAGAAGGGAATATAGGTAGCTCAGGGTTCAGCTGTGAAGTCTCTGGTGGTCTCTGGTCTTGGTTCTTTGCCTTTTCAGTACTGAAATAGGTAGCATCATCAGGGCATGAATAGGCAACAAAGCCAACACTCACTCATCTTGATGATACTACCTAGTTGGGTAATGGAACATCCGCAAGAAAACAGCCAAGCTTAGAGATCACCAAGAATTCCAGAAAAGCCAATGTATAAACTGAAGCATGATGTAAAGCTAAGGTGGGAAGGTGTGGAGAGAAAGTTGGTGCAAACTAGATTTGGTTAAATTTGCTTATTTCCGATATCGTAACTTTATTATCTTTGGTTTGTTGTTTTTGACTCCTGTGCTCTGCATAACATGTTGAAAGGGGATAATTCAATGAGTATGTGTGAGGCTCATGGAATCATATTTCCCAAATATTTTTCTGTCACTGTTTGGTAGTCCTCGACTTATAACCTTTGTTTAGTGACCATTTGAAGTTACAAGGCACTGAAAAATTGACGTCACTGTTTTTCAACCTTATGGTTGTTGCAGCGTCGCTTTCTCTGTGGTCAAAATTTAGGCAACTGGCTCATATTTATGACGGCGGCAGTGTCCTGGGGTCATGCGATCCCCTTTTACGACCTCCTGACAAGCACAGTCGACGGGGAAGCCTGATTCACTTTGCAACCATGTTACTTAACTTAACAACTGCAGTGATTTACTTAACAACTGTTGCAAGAAAGGTTGTAAAATGGGACAACTGCTCTCACTTAGCAACATGAAATTTAGGCTCAATTGTGGTCATAAGTCAAGAACTATCTGTCTTTAAAAAAAAATGGCATCTTTACTCCAGAACTTTCCACCCCAGCCAATCAGAAATCAGAAACAGAGATGGGTTGCTACCGGTTCATACTGGTTCAGGCGAAACAATAGTGGATTTTGCAACTGGGTCACCAAACCACTAGGCATGTCCCCAAACTGGTTCCTTGATTGCCCATGCCATTGCTGGCATGTCTTTTACTACTTTTTAAATGTTCTGCGCATGGTCAGAGCAATATTTTAGCAACTGTCCACATGCGTTAGTGCAAAATGGCAAGCACAGCAAACTGGCAGTAATGCTGGCAGCCTCACCCCTAATCAGAAACCCTCCATTTAAGGACTGCAATTTAAAAAGTGACTTAGGACCAGTTCTCACACTTATGGCTGTTAAAGTACTGTGTCTCCACAGTCGTCAGATTTCAGGGGCTGGGCAACTGGCTTGTATTTATGGTAGTTGCAGCCTCCTTGTGTCCCTGAAATTGTCACTTGCAACCTTCCTAGGGAGTTCAGACAACCAAAGTCAATGGGGCGAGCCAGATTTGTTTAAGTATTGCATGGTTCACTTAACAACTGTAGAGATTCACTTAACAACCATGGCAAAAGGTCATAAAATGGGGCATGGCTGACAGCTGTCTTGCTTAGCACTAGAATATCTGGGCTCAATTGTGGTTTTAGGTCAAGGATTATCTGTATTGTAGTCCTATTTCATTATATAGTTTACTTACTTTACTTTATTGTCATTACACATGGTACAATGAAATTAAATGCCGTCTTCAGTGTACATTATAACTATAAAATTAAAAACACAAGCATACATCCTTTATTTTCTATATAATTGAAATTAAAAACCCGCTATTGCGCTACACCATAGAGTTCAATATACTTACTGCCCTATTCAGCCTATTTGTCCTTGTTTTTATAGTCCTGTACCGTCTGCCAGATGGTAATAGTTCAAAAAAGAAAGAAGAAGAAGGTTGAGCTGGATCTTTAAGAATACTTTGAACTTTCTTAAGGCAGCGGGAGCTATAAAGCTCTTCCAAGGAGGGAAGAGGGCAACCCAAGAAAGCGAATGCTGGCTGGGGAATTCTGGGAGTTGAAGTCCAGACATCTTCAAGTTGCCAAGGTTGAGAAACACTGCTCTGGAGTGTCGTATGTTTTGTCATTGTGCAATTGACAAACCAGACACAGATGCAGTAAGTTAAAATACTCTCTATGGTGCAGCAGTAAAAGGTCACCAGCAGTTTTTCATTCAGTTGTTGTTTCCTTAGGAGTTTCAGGTAGCATAATCTTTGCTGGGCCCATATATTTACGGTGTGGATTGGCTTCCTTACTTTCTTACTCTGCTTCTTCATTATGTCAGTCAAAGAGCGTGTGGCGTCTGAGTAGCTAACCTGCCCAATATTTTTAGGTTATCATTCTGTTCCATAACAAGAACGATGCAAAAATGGCTACTGGGGCATTGCTGGGTGCAGAAAACTTTCACCGATTCACTCCTGAATCCTTGGCCACCATCAAGAAACGTATCATGGAGAAGAAAGACTTGCCACCCGCAGAGAAGCTGAGGCCCCAGCTGGATCTCCAGGCTTGCAAAAAAGTCCCTGCCCTTTATGGAAACCCCCCTGTGGAACTTACTGCAGAACCCTTGGAAGATCTTGACCCCTACTATCATGATCACAAGGTATAGTAGCTTATTGTGAGCCAGTGGTATAATTAGTGTCGCAAGAAAAAAACAGGCATCCATACTATCATATGTGGTGGACTTGTAAAAAGGTAAAAGCATTTTGGATAAAAATATGGTGGATTATGCAAAATGTTCTTTAAAAAAAAAGGATAAAGTTCACCCCTCGGTTATTCTTTTTAGGTATAATTACTGATTGTACAGTTATAGAGATTAACTTGACTTTGCATTTAATAACGGCAGCAAGACTGTTGGTGGCGCAATACTGGAAGAAGGAAGATTTGCCTACTATTCAAGGATGGACATTAAAAGTAACAAACCTAGCAGAGATGGCTAAAATATCAGCAAGGACCACTCAAATGAGAAATATAAACTGGAGTGGAGAAGATGGATTGACTATACTTAAAATAAACATGGGACTAAGGAATTCCAGATAGTTTATGACTGAAAAAACAAGGAATGACATAATCTGTTTAGACTTAGCCTAGCTAAGAGGAGTTAAAGCTCAAATGAAAGATAATACCAACTTTTTAAAAAGTT